TAGAAAAATACTTGGTACAGGCTGGAGTTTAAAACAACTAATGGGTTTATTTTAAAAATCATATTTCTATTGTGGTATATTTTTTATCACAACTGGAGTATTTTTGCAGTCACAGATTTAAATTTAAATAGGAATCCAGGTCTTAAAATGGCTGGGATATCAAAAAGTTCCTTCTATACATGTTCTAAAAGCTACCTGCCTCTTCAGGTATTATACTTCAAAAATCTATGGGCCAAATGTAAAGTAGCTCTTGGTATTGAAGCCTATGAATCTAATCCTGACTCTTCCACTAGCTATTTGTGTGTTCTTAAAAGTCATTTCAACCTCCGCTTCCTCATCTATATGATGAAAAAGTTTAAAAATAAACCAATGGTTTGGACAGAGAAATTGCCTTCTAGCTCTGAGATATTGTGATCCTGTTGAAAATGAATGCGTTTTGTGATCTTCTGCAATATCACACTTTCTTCCCTAAATTACATCTTTCACTCATAACTCATAGCTCATGATTTTATCAGAGTGATGACCATGATGCCATTATACTCTGTGTAGTCTTGATAGTTTTGTTCTGAGTATCTTAAAAGTGGCTTTGTGGGCCAATAATCTCTTCCAATCTTCCTAACCTTTACATGAGGATGGTTCAGAGGTTGATTTTTCATTAGGGAAATGATATTTAAGAGTCTCTCCATGTCAGAATTGGTGGCACATACTGAAGGTGCTCCCTGCTCTTATGCATACCCCTGGGCTGCTTGCATTTGAAGCTGCCCTCATCCCACCCTTTAGAAGCCTCAGAGATGTGGTCAGTAGAGTTTGTGGAACATTGTGTCATGAACCCTCATTGATTTTATTATTTAACTGGTCCATGACATGCCTTTGGAGTGAACTGGTTGTTCAAGTGAATGCATTACAAATAAAGGCCACCACAATATGCCCAGCACCATTTAAGTTATTTTGCTTTCTCTGGCCAAAGTGAAACCGTGAATTACTCTCTTCTGAAGAACTGGATAAACATAACTTTAAGGATCACCCACAGCGCATAGAGGAATGAAGAGAACAGAAGATTCTGTGTTTGCCCTTGGAAGTTTAAATTTCTATTGCAGGAGACAGAATGGAAACAAAATAAAGCCACAAAAGTAGGACATGATGTGCCATTAAAAAAAAGCATCAAAGATAAGTGTACTGCATGAAGAACTACAAAACTATGCTCCAAGGAATTGCTGAAGTGGATTCTTGAGGGCTTTAGAGAAGCACTTTACCCAGAAACATATAAGAGAGAAGAGTCAGAGATTTTTATGGCATCTATATTACAAAGAAATTCCTATGACAGTTTTTTTAGAATGTTAGGTGAGGCCTCATTGGATTGATTTGTACCTTGTGAACTAAAATAAGGTTATCGTTTTTATATTTCCAGTAAATTACCATTAGGAACACAGACATCCGGAAACTGAAGAGATGCTTTGCTATAGCTATCATTCCCCAAGTGGAGTATACACCAGGCCAGTTATTGGGGTAAAGAAAGAAAACACTAGAGCACTGAAAACTTACTTTTCACTCTATCCTTTAGATTTTTCTATTTTAATATTTGTTCTATAGTATTCACAATATATTAGTAAGTATTACAAATACCTAATTTATAAATAAGCTTTCATGGTTGGGGCCTCCTATTTACTGCATGGTAATTCTTAAAAATGTATTTGTTAAATTCTGCTTTCTCTGTTATTGCTACAAATAGTTTAAATGATACAGGGTTGCATTAGCTAAAATATTTAGAAAGCCATGCTTTTAAAAAAATAACTTCCAATTTGATTTGTCCTATAAATAGTCATCTTTTGTGTAAGAAATCTCACAAAAAATAAATCTAACATTTTAAAATTTCTTACATATCAGTAAAATGCTTCTATCTGGAGAAGTTCATAGAAAGATCAATGATTAATAGGTAGACAGTCTTCCTTCAATTGCCTCTGGCTTCCAAGCTAGGAAGCCATCAGGGATTTTCATGTGGGTAAATAGTTCTGAAGGTAAGAAATGTCTCTTTCACTTTTATGGTTTGACTGGGATGCTTTTGGTGTTTCTGTGATTTATGGACAGTACAGTGACTTTGGTGGTGAGCTACCGAAGCTTTTCTCATCACTGTGCTGGTATGAATTCTATGGGTCCTGCTGTGTCTCAGGTGTCCAAGCCCCA